TACACACACACACACACACACACACACACACACACACACACACACACACACACACACACACACACACACACACACACACACACACACACACACACACACACACACACACACACCAACCAAGTCCAATTTACCGGGAGCAAGACCTCTCACTTTGAATCAGCCTCTCACAGGTCTCCACCAACATCATTGTGCCCGTTGCTTCCAGGTTTCCATGCTCCTCGACTGGTTACCATAGAGAACTGCATGAAGCTGACCCAGATGATAGTGCAGGGTCTGCAGGAGTCAAAGTCACCGCTGCTACAGCTGCCCCACTTTGACGAGGAGCACCTCCGCTACTGCATCTCTAAGAAGGTAACTGCCCGCCCGGTGTCTGTACATGCACACAACAAGTAAAAACATGCAGAAAGGTGTTATTGATCATTTCCCCTCTCCTCTCCAGTATAAAGTCCGGAGCCTCCAGGACCTGGTGAGCTTAAAGGACTCGGACAGACGCAACATGCTGCGCTTCCTCGGGGAGGAGAAGTACGATGAGGTCTTTGCTGTGCTGGGCAGCTTCCCTCACATCACCATGGACACCAAACTGCAGGGTCAGTCCTGATATACACACACATCTTAACACACATTGTTTGTCCACCAGCTGACCTGTGACACGTCTGCTCCACAAAATGCAGTAGCTCCATCTTAGTCTTTGTCCCTTTTTAGATGGATCTACCTTACTGAAGCATGATTGTTGTCATGGTCAGGTCGTCTAGTTAAATGTTACATTTGTTTCTTTGCAGTCCTTGATGACGAAGACAGCAATAACATCACAGCAGGCTCCATCGTCACAGTCACTGTCACCTTAACCAGAAAACGGATGTCGGTAAGGATTGATTTTCCAAAATAAGGGGAGAATCAAATGGATTCCTAATGATGTCGCTTTGGAAATTCACTTCCACTGACGACCAGTAGAGTGTGCTGTTGTCTGTATGCGTTGTTAAAAAAGCTAAATGTGCGTTCTGTTTTTATAGGAGGTGTTTGAAAAGGAGCAGGACTCATCAACACCCTGTCTAACAGAGGAGGCTGCCACTACAGAGGAAGCGGTAAGACACTTATACAATATATTAACTCTATGCGGGTCAGATTTAGCCATGATTAAAAGCTCTAGTTCAAGAAATAATGTGCTGTTTACCTAACTCTAATTTGTCTTTGTGTCGTACAGGGAGACGCGAGTAAAACCAAAACAAAAGTGTGGCAGAACAAGAGTAAAGGGGCTAAGAAGACAGCCAAGTCCAAGAAGAAAAAATTAACCAAGAAGAAGGCCACTCCAGCGCCTGCTAAAACCAAGCAGGCCAACGGCACCGTGGCAGGAAATGTATGTATCCAATCACAGCTGCTCGTTGATCATCACTCACATCCCTTACATCATACATTATTTTTGTGTTTTTGCCAATGATGTCACAGGAGGTGGTCGCAGCAGTAACAACAGCAGCAGTAACAGCAGCAGCAGCAGCAGCAGCAGCAGCAGCAGCAGCAGCAACAACAGCACCAGCACCAACAGTAACAGCGACGACGGTGGTTAAGGAGGAAGAGGACGAGGTCTCAGACAAGGGCAGCGACTCAGAAGAGGGCGAAGCCAACAAGGACTCTCCCAGCGAGAGGGACGAAGACAGCGACAAGCAGAGCGACACGGAGGTGGACGAGATGGCTGGAGACGATGAAGAGGTCAGAACACTTTAAATGAGGACTAATAGCAGTGTCAGGCTTGAGCAATATCTCATTTTATTGTCATGTGTTTCAGTCTAGGGCTGCACGATTTGTAAAAAATTACATTGCACAGATATTGCAAGTGCAGTATGATTCGGGACGGAATTTGGAATGACCATTTATGAAACCTTATTCCCATTATCATTGAAAAATACATTAAAATAATAACGGTGTGAATATTAAACACATTTTATCTAGGAGGATCTGTTCCAAACAGTTTTAAAGACTTCTCAGCAGCTCCACAATACCTTATTCAGAATGTTACTTTGCCATAACTAAATATCACGCTTACTGTTATTTCTGATGACTCCATATTGAGATTTCCTTCAAATGTTGATTCATTTTGAAGCCTTTTTAACCAACAAATTCCACACCTGGAAGCACGAAAAATCCTCACTCTCTGTTCCATATTGTCCTGATTTAACATCATCAATGAATGCAGAGGTTTGTACCTGTACCCAGCCTAACCCTCCACTCTCTCCCCCCCCTCCCCCCTCAGGAGTGGGAGGCGTTGCAGCAGAGCATCCAGCGGCGGGAGCGGGCCCTGCTGGAGACCAAGTCAAAGGTGACGCACCCCGTCTACAGCATCTGCTTCGCCGAGGAGAAGCATGAGTGGTGGTGGCTGTACATCGCAGACCGCCGGGACCAGACCCTCGTCTCCATGCCCTACCACGTCTGCACGCTAAAAGACACAGAGGAGGTGAGCGTGTGGTTTCTTATGGAACAATAGCCACATAAATGTATGAGTTTAGATACAACCCGGGAGGCAATCATATGCTTCTACTTTATTGTAAAGATTATTTTTGATTTATGTTTTAGTTTAAAAATGGCATTCATTTAGTGGAGTCCATGACAACCCAAGGTGACATTTTCAAATGACTTGTGTTTTCCCGACAAATTGACCTTAAACAAAATATATGAAATAATAAATGTAACATTTAAGAAATGAGCAACAGATTAGCATTTCTTTTTTAATCAACCAATAATTGATTATCTATAATGACAGTTTCTTCCATTATTAATATTATATTTACTATTCTAAAGTGATGTGTATGTTTGCATCATATTTAAATAGCCTCAAGGCTGTGTTGCAGCTTATGTTATAAGTCTGGAGTACAAAGGTCTTAACAAGTGGAAGTGTGTGTTTGTTCACGTTTCTGTGCACCGTAGCCCCTCACAAATCCTGTTGCCAGGCAACCCGTTACACTTCTGTCATTATATCCATAGAGGGTTAGTTGCTTATATGTGTGTGTGGTTATTTTGCACCTCTGAACCTGGTGTTATCCAGGAGTGACAGCGAGGTTTAATGAGGCCCACGTAAAGTCTGAAGGAATGTAACGGCCAGAGGTGACCCGCCCATGCTTAACACTTCACCATCAATTACTCCGTCACTTTAACAGTTCCGTCTGTTCTTTGTGTTGTGAGGCCGCTAAAACGCTGCGTGATTTGACAGACATGTTTTTAAAAAA